TCCAGCAACCCTCAGCTTGTTCTCTATAGTCAAGAGTCTCTCTTATGGTCTGCCTCCCTCTCTGTTTTTTCTTTGGACAGGCCATGTTTTAAAAGACTATTTTCTCTCCACATTTCCCTCTTTTTCTATATTATAGCCATATCCTCTGAGAGAATACACAGGATATTTTTTTTTTTTACTGATTTGTTTCTTCAATAAGTTTATTTAAGGGTCGTGTAATACCATTCATTATCTGATTAAAATATATTTGGGCTTAGAATTTAGACCTACCATCAGAGGGAAAAAAGGACTCTTTCCAATACAGTCCTTCTCTCATGGATTTTTTTCACAGTATTCCTTGTGAAAAAAAATAGCCATAAAACCATATTAGAACAATATTTCTAATCACCTGGTTTCAAAATTCATGGTATTAGAAGTTTTTCTCGTGGATAAAATTCAAATTGTATATAAAAATATATATTTACTCAAGCAGATTAAAATGTGTACATCAGGATCCATCAATAATAGTTACACATATTCTAGAAGGCAGTAAATAATGAGTAAGTGTTCTATACATGTAGCAAAAATGGTACTGGACTTGACTGTCTTGTCAGTAGAAACTGACTGAAAAACCAAAAGTACAGAAACTTCTGAAAATCAGAGGTTACACTTAGACTGTATGCTTCAATGGGAAGGAATTCCTTCTATTTCCCTGTAAATTCCCACAAATTTCCAGCTTTTTGCCATAAATAATGTGACAGGTGGCTCATGTGGGTGTTTGAATGGATGTGAACTGAACAGGGAAATAAAATGAGCCTCGTCAGTTACATACTTCAAACAGAGGGTTTTTTAAAACTTAAATAAGGAAGCGTTCAGTCTCTACTTATTGCTTCAGCAACAGTGACTGGTTTTATATCGATTTGCTTCCTAATCCAAAACTTTTACATGAAGAGAAAACATACTATGGTGGAATGTATGTGAGGCATTCTGGAGACAGAGTAAGGATAAAATCCAGACTTTGACATAATTTTAGAAATCTCTGCAAATTAATTAATCTCTAGATTTTCAATTTCTTTTTCTGAAAAATGAGGATAATAATACATCATAGAGTCTTTTAAGGACTCAATATATGTAAAGTGTATGTTAAGTACATGTGTGTGCCTAAAATGCCAAGTGCATGCTATATATACCATCAGATCTCAGTATAAGATCTCTGTGAGAACTGAATTGAATCCTACCAATGGATTCTTAATGGTAATATAAATAATGCAAATAGGATCCATGAGCAAAGGCCATACAAATTAAGGAATCATGGAGGTTAATAGCTATAATGAAACTTAAATAGTATTTTACAGATGAGGAAACTGATATCCAAAGAAATTTCTTTTCCAAAGTTCCCAGCTAGGTAATGGCATAATAGGACTAAAAACCCAAATGTACCTACATACTGGAACATAATATAAATCTTAATCATTCTACTCACAAAGGGTAAAAAGAGATTCTATAAAAGTAAGTTTTGACTAAACTAAGAAAGGGAAATTCATAGGTAGGTATTTTAAAAATATTTGGTCAGCTATTTCAAGAATTTTGACAGCATATTTTCATACTGCATTCCTGGAACTTGTGATAGCCAGATATATATGCCATAAACTCTATTCTATCAGGAAAGTACTGATGAAGTAATGGGATTGCAGTCACTCCACCCCTTTAATGCATAACAAGTTATCAGGAAAATATTTAAAGAGTAAATGTCAATGTATGGAAAAACCTTTCATTAGTATGAAATTTCTGTAGTCCCTGAAAGATTCTTCTCAAACCAAAATATTCATATCAATCATGAGAAATAATCTGCACTATTAATGAGTTCAACCACTACTAGTATGAATCAGATAAATATTCTGACAATATTCACTTTCTCATAAATAGACTCCAATATAAATCTAATGCTCATAATGAAATACACTAAAGTGGAAAATAATATTGGACAATGGAATAATTAACAAACAAACAAAATTAAACAAAAAGAAAATAAAAACAATAAACAGAACCCATGACAAAAACTGCTGCACTTATATTGTTTTATGGACAAATTTGTATACAATTATACTGTGTATTATATTACATCAAGACAGTTCTACAAGGCAATGTCTCAATAGTTTATTTATCAAGAGTACCACTAGGTGGCACTATAAGATAAATGACTTTAGGAAACCACTCAACTGACCTTTTTTTTAACTGAATGTAAAAAAAGGACATTTCCTGGACATTGATGAAATACAGTATTAAGCTGGCCCCAAATTATTAAAAAATGTTATTCTATATTTTCGCCTAAAATTTTCCATATTTTTCCTAAATTATATTTTATTTCTTGAAAACTTCCATTCCAAAGTCAAATTAGGAATTAGGATTAGAAAAAGATTGTATTGCACACTAAATAAAAGGAAAAACAAATGAGACTCTGTAAAATGGAGAGATAAATTCCAAATCAGACTTACAAAAATACATTAATGCAAAAGCTAGCCAACCAGGTAGGATGTTAGAGAAAACATGATTCTTGAATACTTAAGACATAGATTTCTAACTGTTAAATAGAGCATATAAATCAAACTGCTCAAGTTAATATGGAATCCATTATACAAATATTTAGAGATAGTTCTACTTGATCATACTGCATTGGACATGAATCAGATCAAACTATTGCATTGCTTTCTAAATGTTCAGCAACTACAAAGATACTTAAGTAGGATGCTACATGGCTCTCAAATATTTCACACAGTGCTTCAGTGAGATTTCTTCTGCTGTGCTCAGAGATTCATTAATGTTCCTGTTATAGGATCCACTGCATTCACTGGAAGAGAAACCTAGATCTTAGGAAAGAGAAACATGGCTCTAATTTGCTGACCTGTAGAATGTGTGGCTTGAAAGCCTTTCCTTTGAACAGATGCATCAGAAACAAACCGAACAAACATTTTATTTCCAGTAGCCACAAGGGGCTCTGGTATCTTGTTGCCACATAGTCTTCCAAGAATTGGTGATTTTTCTGTTTCTCCATCGAATACTTCCAAGTGATCATAAGCACATTCTTGATGCTGCTCAATCTCAAACTCACCAAAGGCCTATTAAAAAAAGAAAGAAAGGGAAAGAAAAGCAAAAACACATATCACTCAAAATGGGTTCTTTCCTTTGGAGCAGAAATGCACATCAATAAAACATGCTCATGACATACAAATAAATTAACCCGTATAGAACATTATTGAAAGGAGTGTAAAATCAGTAGAATGTAAAGTCTCTGAAAAAACATAATGAGGAAAACAGCACAATTACTCCAGGTGAAATTCTATTATTAAACTATTGCAATTAAATCACAATCAAAACTATCACAAAACTATCACAATCAACTCCAGGATTTAGACAAGTTATAATAACAGTGATATTTTATTCTGAATATAATTCTAAGTTTATACTGAACGCATCAGAAAACTTTAAACACTTGGCATTTTAAAAATTGACTCCTTCTGGTTTTGATGATCATAAACTATTGAATATCATCCTACCTTGGGGCATTTAAACTAAGAAGAAAACCTAAAAAAATAACTTATATTTTCACAGAAATTAACTAAGCACAGTAAATCTTAAAAGAATAAAACAACGGGAATTTACACTATATACTTCTTTCTTTATTTTTTTAAAGGTTTTATTTATTTATTTGACAGAGAGAGACACAGAGAGAGAGGGAACACAAGCAGGGGGAGTGGGAGAGGGAGAAGCAGGCTTCCTGCAGAGCAGGGAGCCCGATGCGGGGCTCGATCCCAGGACCCTGGGATCACTACCTGAGCGGAAGGCAGACGCTTAACGACTGAGCCACCCAGGCGCCCCTATACTTCTTTATTTAGATCCTACAACCCATATTATTAGAAAATACTAATATGGTTTTAGGCTAGATTTTTTTTTTTTTTTGAGAGCCTACTTCTCCCTTCCCTCTGCCTGCCTCAAGGCTAGATTATTTTTAAGTTACTTTTAAGATAGATGGTACACTTATTTTAATATTTAGAGCTTGCAGAGTTTAGTATGCCTTTAAAAGTTATTCTAATTTTCCCGTGTAGTAATTTTTATGCATAGGTCTTAGCAAATTCTTATATTTTTTAATACTTGTAGAAAGAATTGTTATCAAACTTCACTCATTGGACCAGAGACCCTTGTGTTGGTGGAAGATTTGCCCCTCATGTAGCTCATTAGCTATGTTTGTGAAGCTCACTGGAGAGCCAGCAGCCTTAACTCCAAGCTTTAACGATGTGCAGAAGCAAATTCTTAAAATAAAAATTCATTAAATGTATAACACATTAAACAACACAAAGGAAAGTTTAATTGAGGCAGACTGAAAATAGTAATGGCCCAATTATTAATAATTCCAGGAATTCTAGGTTATTTGCCATTGCCAATCAAGGCTTTTTCCCTTCCCTAGAAAAGCCACCATACCTTCAAAAAATAAACTATCATTCCCAGTAAAGGGGAAAAAAGCTGGGAGAAATAGAATATGTACTTGAAAATTCGTTCATTTTCCTGCAGTCTCTGCAGCATAATATATTTGCACATAAACTTTTTGCATACATGTTTTTAATACAATTTTGTGAAGTTATCACAATTCTAAATTTAATTAAGACATACATTTTTGTAATTTTGAAAAGAAAAAATTGACTAAGAACGGTTCTCCTTTAGTGCTGGCCAGTTATCTATTCCTTAACACACGGCCGTCTATTATCACTGGCTTTGGAGGAGTAAGGGAAGAAATGAAAGAAGCAATTTATATTAATTAGGGAGTAGGAGAAAGAAATGAAAGGTACTTAAAAGAAGAAACAAAAGAAAAGAAAGAGGGCCGATCTCTACTACCATATTCCACTGCACCCTACTTTAAAAAGTATAAATTAACATGATAATGACCAATAAGCACTAGAGAGTCATTATTTGTTATAACCATATGAGTAAAAAAGAATGTTCACTTCATTCTACTGAAGACACTGGATAGTGCAAAAGAGATAAATACTGCGCAAAGAATCTTATAGGAAACAAACAAGAAACAGTGCACACAAAATACCGTGAACAAGGAGACTTCAGCAGAGTGTATTTACCGTGAAGTACAACATTCAAAGCAGGTGGTCGCTGAAGTTTGCTGCTATTTACCTCTGCAGTCCAGTGGCAGAGAACAGAGTAGAGGAGACGCAGTACATGGGATATAGAAGACCCTGAATGGATGGTTGGCTGGAGATCCATTCATTTACCTATCTACCTATTCCATGTTTATGGCCAACCCCACGGATGGAAATGCTGTGAATGTGACAGGCCAACACTTCAGGTTTTCTGCCTCTCCTGAGCTGGTACTCAGTCGGCTTCTATTACCATTACGCACATAGACACTGTCTGAGTATCAGTTTGTAACTGTTAAGAAACCTATAGGAGACAATTGGCTTAACCGCACTTAGAATTCTTTATTAACTATGAAACCAAGCTTCTGAATTATAAGGTCAATGTTATCTCAAGAAAAAAATAAAAGCATTGTTTCAGGAGAATAACATCATCTGAAAACCACTGCATGTTGAACAATTGTCTCTTCTGACTGTGATTTAAGTCATTCATCTATCAATAAAAAGAGCAGAGAAACCTACTGTGTAGGAGAGAAAACTGTAAGAATGATGGGGGTGATGGCATTCTAAAGCACATCCTTTAAGTAACAGTTAAAATGGGATCAGAATTTACAGACCACACATGTTCAGTCCATTGAAAACCAAGTGAATGAGATAACTAAGTGACTACTTCACTCCCTAATGAAATGCAGGATGTCTGGAGTGAATCACAACATCTGTTTTACAGAACAGAGCAACACCACACAAAGTGGCAGAGCGCTTGCGGGCTGGGGGCATTCTGACACCTGGTCTGGAGCCAGCTGGCTCCCGCTTTTTATCTAATTACTAATGGAATCAGACTGACTCTGTAAGAGTCAAATTAGACAAAGGTTCTGCAGCTGACATATTCTCAAGTGATGCAAACAATTCTCATTCATTAAGGTATTAGTGAATTTTCCTCTTGGAATTGGTAGCAGCTTGTTAGGTCATCTGTAAAGATTGGGTGGTCCTTTTCCAGAAGTCAGTCTAACCCAAATGCTCCACCACACACAAGCAAAAGCGTCACTAACTCACATGCCGACATCTCATAAATCTGGCCCTTAATATCACAGAGGTATCCACATCTAAGGACCTCCATGTATAGCAATGTTGCCTCAATAAAATATATTTCTAGGTCACAGGAAGGTATTAGAGGGGGCCATGGGAAATTGGGAAAATCTTAAAAAATATTTTTGTAGAATTCCCAAAGATACAGTGAGATATACAGTTTATTACTTTATTTTATGACACGTGCTGAGCCATGAATGTCTGTATCTAAATAATGCAGAATATGGAGATTTCTAGCCACCAGGAACCAATGCTATAACACTGCACCCCATAAAGACACTTAGCTTCCCAGAACATCCTTCAACATCACAAAGGTAACAGGACAGCTAGCAAAGCTGATGTATGGAGCTATATGAAAGTCTGATTTCTGCTGAATCACCGCCCTCTTTTTGGGGACTTTAAAATATTTTTCTTAAGTGTTTACACTAAAACTTTATAGACATTTTAGTATTCAAACATTTAAACCCTACTCATCCATGATTATATTTCTATGATTTTAAGGTTACTAATCTAGGCTTTAAAAAAAAAAAAGAGCAAATACCCATGAGCTCTAGTCAGAAATACGAATGCATTTCCCACAAGGCAAACTAAGAGATTAAGGAGTCCCATTCAAAGGAAATAAAATTGAATTCTCGTTTTAGGCTATGGAAAGAATAACTATGTGTTTCTGGAACACCCAAGCAAGCCTAATCTACCTAGCTGGCCACCAGCCAGGCTGCCATATGCAGCCTCACATGAACATCTGTAGAGGGGCTTTTATTGAAAATACAGGCGCTGGCTGAAAGATAAGGCCATTCAGAGTCGCCACATATATTCACAAGGGACAAGAAAATAAAATGATAGCATTTAATGCAGAAATAAAATTTAGCCAGGGTGACCATTAAAAGTAAGAAATTGAAAGAGACTGATGCAATTTGAGCAGCTGTGATATAAGATTTGGAGTTCCCTGGTCCCAGCCATCCTTCGCCTTTTCCTGTCTTCGGTGAGAACTATCATTTGGTTTCCCACAAGATATTGGAAGGATTAGAGGCCACTGGGAAACATGGCAGAGTGGAATATAAGCCTCAGCCTTCCGATTCAAAAGACCTTTTCTGTTCCATGAGTCCTCTAAAGCTGTGATCAAATACACTTTTGGCAGATTTATGGTGGAGAATTATGTAACATTTGTAGGTGTTTTTGTTTTCTAAATAGCCCATATATGAAGCTATAAATTGCAACTACATAACTTAGCAAAACTCCAGGATATGATAAATCAAATAAACATGACATAAGCATATTGGCCTATTGCTGGATGTCCCTATGCCTGGAACTTTGTTCCTGTTTTGTTGGTTTGTTTTTGTTGTGTTTTGGTTTTAATGTTTTAATATTTAAAAATACTTTAAGAGTACCCAAAATTTAATAATCAGTTGTGTCTCTCAGAACCAAGACAAGATGAAGTCAGGAGTAAAACAGATCCTTGTCCTTATTCATTCAGAACTTTATCTCTTTTCCAGTAAGAAGACTTTCTCCCCCCAAATATCTTTCAACCAGGGTTTCTTTCTACTTTAAAACTATTAATATAGAGTCAGAACCTCATAATACACACACACACACACACACAGCGAAACAAAGCAAACATATTAGTTTCCTATTGCTGCTGTAGCAAATTACCACAAATTCAGTGGCTTAAATGACACACATTTACTCTCCTAGAGCTATGGTGGTTACAAATCTAAAATGGGCAAGCAGCGCTGGACCTTCCAGAGGAAAAGTGAGGATCTGTTTCCTTGCATTTTGCCCATCTTCTTGAGGCTGCCCTCATTCCTTGGCTCATGTCCCTTTGTTCCATCTTCATAACCAACAGTCTAGCATCTTCTCTCCTCTCTGACCTCCTGCTTCCTTCTTGTAAGCAC